ATCTGCATGTACTCATGGAGATATATATATCTCTCTTCAACTTTTAAGTTCAGGGGTACATGTGCAGTATGTGCAGGTTTGTTTCATGGGTAAATGTGTGCCATGGTGGTTTGCTACACGGATCAACCCATCACCCAGGCATTAAGCCCAGTATCCATTAGCTATTCTTCCTGATGCTCTCCCTTTCCCAGCTTGCTCCCTCCACCACAGGCCCCAGTGTGTGTTGTTCCCCATTGTGTGTCCAACTCCATGGATATTTATTTTAAATTTTGGTTTATAATCCAATACTACTTTATTTTGTGGTTCCAGCTTTGGACATTGGGAACTCTTTCATTTGACTCCTGTGACCCTTTAACGTATCACCAGAATGTGTTTTTTCTTTTGTTTTGATTTAGCACTTCCTCACTTTCTGGGACTGAAAATGCTGGAGACTCACATTGTACATTTCATGTCCCTATCCTAGAATCAGATATTTCTTTGAGGAGCCCTAGTTCCTTTGATTGAAGAAGAGTATCTTATGAATTTTGATAATCTGTAATGTCATTTTCATTCAGTTCAATGTATTTTTTAAAATTTCCCTTTAGACATCTCCTTTGATTCATGGATTATTTAGAAGTGTGTTGTTTAGTTTCAAGTGTATGGAGATTTCCCTGTGTTGTTTCTTTTATTAATTTCTGGTTTGTTTTCACTGTGGTTGGATATATGATTTCAGCAATTTTAAATTTGCTGAGGTTATTTAATGTCCCAAGATGTGGTTTGTTTCAGCATATGTTCCGGGGGCACTGGAAAAGAATGGATATTTGGTTGTTGGGTGGAGTGTTCTATAAATGTGGATTAGATCCTTGTAGTTGACAATGTTTTTAAGTTCTATGTTCTTGCTGATTTTCTGTGTGGTTCTGTCAATTGTTGAGAGAGAGGTGTTGATGTATCCACCTGTAATTGTGTATTTTTCAATTCCTCCCTTCAATTGTATCAGTTTTGCTTTACAGATTTTGCAGCTTTGTTTGGCATGTACACATTTGGGGTCACTTTACAAGGTTCTGTTTTTATTTATTTATTTATTTATTTATTTATTTTGAGACGGAGTCTCACTCTGTCGCCCAGGCTGGAGTGCAGTGGTACAATCTCGGCTCACTGCAACCTCTGCCTCCTGGGTTCAAGCGACTCTTTTGCCGCAGCCTCCTGAGGAGCTGGGATTACAGGTATGTGCCACTACACCTGGCTAATTTTTGTATTTTGAGTGGATATGGGGTTTCACCACGTTGGCCAGGCTAGTCTCAAACTCCTTATCTCAGGTGATCCGTCCACCTTGGCCTCCCAAAGTTCTGGGATTACAGGTGTGAGCCACCACACCCAGCCTTTTTTTGGGTATTTTTAGTACAGGGTTTTTTTTTAGAGACAGGGTTTTGCCATGTTGGTCAGGCTGGTCTCGAACTCCTGACCACAGGTGATCCGCCCACCTCCGCCTCGGAAAGTGCTAGGATTACAGGCGTGAGCCACTGTGTCTAGCCTTTTCTGTCTAGTTTGTTTCTGTTGTTCAGTTGACAGATTGTTTTGTCTTCCAATTCACTAATCTCTCTATCCCCTTTATTCTGCTCTTGAGTCGATCCACTGAGCTTTTTATTTTGGTTATTATATTTTTCAATTATAAAATTTCCATTTGGTTTTTCTTTATATCTTTCTTTGCTGAAACTTTCTAGGTTTTCATTTGTTTCAAGCATGTTTGTATCTTCTTGTTGAAGCATTTTTTTTGTTTGTTTTAATCATGGCTGCTTTAAAATCATTGTCAGATAATTCCAACATTTTTGTTGTCTTTTTTTTTTTTTTTGAGACAGGGTCTCACTGTGTTGCCCAGGCTGGTCTTGAACTTCTGGGCTCAAGCAATTCTCCTGCCTCAACCTCCAAAGTGCTGGGATTACAGGCATGAGCCACCATGCCCGGCCCCATTTTTGTTGTCTTGATTGCAGGCATCTATTGATTATTATTTTTTATTAAATTTGAAAACTTAACTGGTTCTTAGCATAATGAGTTATTTTCTATTGAACTCTGGATGTTTTTGCATTATATTCTGAGAGTCTGGATCTTGTTTAAACATGTTTCATTAAGAGCTGTCCCTTTCAGATAGCACTTCAGCAAGAGAAAAGAGGCTCTGCCTCATTACTGCCTGATTGAGGTAGACTTGGCTTCCTTGATGCCTGAGGGGCAGGGGCTCCTGGTTACATCTGAGTGGGGATGGGAGTTCCAGCTTCCATGTGTTCTCCTTTGGCTCTTAATTTTAATAATATACACACTTTTAAAAGTGATTATTTATATTGCAAGTATGTGCACCTCTTCCCAATACAGAGACAGCCTGGAGCTGTTGCCCAAAGAATTGGAAGCCGTTTAGTTCCAACTGCTACTTTATTTCTACTGAATCAGCATCTTGGCAAAAGAGTGAGAAGGACTGCGCTAGAATGGAGGCTCACCTGCTGGTGATAAACACTCGAGAAGAGCAGGTACTTTCTAATAGATAATGGGGCTGTGAGCCCTGCCTGATCTTTGTTTATCTCTCTTGGCTGTGAAGGAGGTTTTTGCTACTTTGGGATATTTGTGCTGTGGCAGAAGGCTTCAAATAAAATAAATAGAAAGGGCTCCTAAGCCTTTATATTCCATACCTTCTTCCTGCTTCAGTAAAACTAACCTCCCCGAAAGAAATTGTGACATTAAAAATATATGAGGGTTGAATGGAAGGATGAAAATGTTTCAGTCTGAATTATCAATTTGTTATTTCAATATGTAAATGTTTTATACATGATTAACTATTTAACAGATAAGTGGTATTAGGTTGAAAAGAGAAAAGAAAGTTAACTCATGATGAATCACAATCAACACTCAGGAGTGAAAATAAATAATCCCTGAAGTTATGAAAGGAAAATGACTGAATTTGCCAAAAGTTTCTCGTGTACAACTTTGAAGAATGTAATCTCTTAGTGAAGAAAAGAGGGGAAGTAAACCTAAGATGAGAATTCATTCTGATCATAGAAATTGCTTCCATACTGGCCGGGCATGGTGGCTCATGCCTGTAATCCCAGCACTTTGGGAGGTCAAGGCGGGCAGATCACTTGAGGCTGGGAGTTCAAGACCAGCTTGGCCAAAATGGTGAAACCCTACCTCTACTAAAAATACAAAAATTAGCCAGGCATGGTGGCACACGCCTGTAGTCCCAGCTACTGGGGAGGCTGGGGCATGAGAATTGCTTAAGCCTGGGAGGTAGAGGTGCAGTGAGCCAAGATTGCACCACTGCACTCCAGCCTGGGATAGAAGGTGAGACTCCATCTAAAAAAAAAAAAAAAAAAATCCTTCCATATGTACTGAACATCATGCTCACAAGCGATTCTTTGATTCTGCCCTGCTTAGCCAGAGACCTCCATTCCTACATAGAGCTCCAGTGCGGCTGTTGCTGGATCCTCTCCTTTTCTTCTCGTTTCTCTAAGGTATTAAGAATTCAGTTCGAGCTGTAAAAAATACTGTAAAGGCTGTGACTTCTTCTTTTCCCCCCTCAGGATTTCATCTTCCAGAATCTGCAAGAAGAATCTGCTTATTTTGTGGGGCTCTCAGATCCAAAAGGTCAGCGACATTGGCAATGGGTAGATCAGACACCATACAATGAAAGTTCCACGTGAGTATAGAATGAAATAAAAGAATCTTGGGTCCTGGATCATGCAGAGAGCTTAGGGTATTCTAGCTATCAGCTATAAAAGTAGAATGGCTTACTATTCTTTTAGCTCTTGGGCACTAGGTTAAATAATTTCGTTATTTCATTTAATCTGCACAAGAACCCTATGAGGCACATGTTGTTATTTTTCCCCTGTAGATATGAGGAAATTAAACTTGGTTGGAGAGTATAGATAATTCAGCTAAGGTCACCCAGTGGTGTCAACAATAGTTCTCTCTTCTTTTTTTTTTTTTTAAATGGAGTCTCACTCTGTTGCCCAGGCTGGAGTGCAGTGGAGCAATCTTGGCTCACTGCAGGCTCCACCTCCCAGGTTGACGCAATTCTCCTGCCTCAGCCTCCCAAGTAGCTGGGACTACAGGCACCTGCCAACACGCCTGGATAATTTTTGTATTTTTAGTGGAGATGGGGTTCCACCTTGTTAGCCAGGATGGTCTTGATCTCCTGACCTCGTGATCCACCCGCCTCGGCCTCCCAAAGTTCTGGGATTACAGGCATGAGCCACCGTGCCTGGCTAACAATAGTTCTCAAATGGGGTGGATCTTACTGTGCTTTTAACCAGTATATTTACCTATCTCTACATAGTGAAAATCCGTGTTGATTAAGATCATAACCAATTATTAAGATTTGATAATTCTTTTTTTCTTTTTTGAGACAGGGTCTTACTCTGTCAACCAGGCTGGAGTGCAGTGGTGCAATCATGGCTCACTGCAACCTTGAATTCCTGGGCTCAAGGGATCCTCCCACCTAAGTCTTCTGAGTTGCTAGGATGACAAGTGTGTGCCACCACACCCAGTCAGGTTGAAGATTTAATACTTCTTATGAAGCAAAAATGCTAAATTCTGATAATCTTATATCTCATATTTATGTAATTCTTTAATTACATAAATTACATACTTTACATATATTACCTAAATTACATAAAATATATACTTTACTGGATTACCACCTTTGATCTTCATATCCACTGTATGAAATAAATTGTGATATTACTCTAGTCCTCATTTTTTAGATAGAAAAATTGAGAATCAGGGAAGTTAAATTACTTATCCAATAACAGGGATAAGTAGAAGATCCAAAAGATTTTACTAGTTCTCTAGACTTTAAAAACAGTGCATTAAAAAAAGGAAAAACTCTATTGATAAGTGGGACCAGGGTGAAATCTTTTCATCATACAAGGACACCCTATAGGTTGACGGACCCATAGGAACAGGACATAAGGATGGACAAAGAGAAGAGAACCTCTGGAAAATCTGTGGTGAGGATATTCAAAGCAGTAAGAGAGAGAACATTGAGTGATGTAAGCACAGTTTTCAAAGGAAATGCCAGAAATGCAGATGGAGGAGAAGCTGCATGAGTGGCTGAAACATAGATTTGGGCATATCTGACCCTATGTTCCATGAAATTCATCCCTAGCTCCTCACCCCTGTCTCTAAGTCTTTTCAAAGCTCTGAAGAAATGCCCTCATCTTTTTTGTCCCTTTCAGATTCTGGCATCCACATGAGCCCAGTGATCCCGATGAGCGCTGTGTTGTGCTAAATTTCCGTAAAACACCCAAAAGATGGGGCTGGAATGATATTCATTGTAATGTTCATCAAAGGTCAGTTTGTGAGATGATGAAGATCCACTTATGAACTGAACACTCTCCATTAACAAGTGGTTGGATTGGCATCTGTCATTGTAGGGATAGATAATAAGCTCTTCTTATTTATGTGTAAGGGAGGTCCATATAATTTAGGTGGTCTGTCAACTATTCTACTTATGAGAGAATTGGTCTGTACATTGATTGATTCACTTTTTCATAAAGTGAGCATTTATTCATGTGCCAAAGCCTGTACTGAAGACCCCTATTGTGCACACATGGAGAGAACATGAGTCTCTCTTAATTTTTGTCTGGTTGCTAAAGAATTATTTACCAATAAAATTATATGATGTGGTTTCTCCTCCTGTCTGGTTTTCTCTTCATCCCTACTATACTGATGTATAATTGACAAATAAAATGGTATATATTTAAGGTGTACACTGTGGTGATTTGACATACATATATTGTAAAATGATTACCATAATCAAGTTAGTTAATCCACACCCATTATCTTAAATAGTTAACAATCTTGTGTGTAGTGAGAACGTTTAAGATCTACTCCCTTCTGGCCATTGGTATCAACAAACACAAAGAAAGATCTACTCCCCAATAAATTTCAAGTGTACAATGCATCATTATTAACTATAGTCACCATGCAGTACATTAGATCTCTAGAACTTCGTCATCTTAGAACTGAAAATTTGTACCCTTTGACCAACATTGCCTGATTTTCTCCACTGCCCTCCATCCCCTGGCAACCATCATTTTACCCTCTGTTTCTATGGATTGACTTTTTAAGGTTCTACATATAAGTAGAATTGTACAGTACTTGTAATTCTCTATAGGACTTATTATATTTCACTTAGTATAATGCCCTCCGGATACATCCATGTTGTGCAAATGACAGGATTTCATATTTTTATGGCTGAATAATACTCCATTGTATATACATAGTACATTTTCTTTATCTTTCGTCTATTGGCCAATTCTTGTTTCCATGTTTTCACTATTGTGAATAATGGTCCAATAAGTATGGAAGTGCAGATATCTGTTCTAGATAGTGATTTCATTTTCTTTTGGTATATACCCAGAAGTAGGATTGCTGGATCATATGATAGTTTTATTTTTATTTATTTGTTAATTAATTAATTTATTTAGAGATGGAGTCTCATTCTGTCGGCAGGCTGGAGTGCAATGGCGTGATCTCAGCTCACTGCAACCTCTGCCTCCCAGGTTCAAGCAATTCTCCTGCCTCAGCCTCTCAAGTAGCTGGAACTACAGGTGCATGCCACCATGCCCAGCTAATTTTTCTATTTTTAGTAGAGATGGAGTTTTGGCATGTTGGCCAGGATGGTCTCGATCTGTTGACCTTTTGATCCACCTGCCTCTGCCTCCCAAAGTGCTGGGATTACAGGTGTGAGCCACCACGCCCTGCCAGATAGTTTTATTTTTAGTCTTTTGAGGAACTTCCATACTGTTTTCCATAATAGCTGCACTAATTTATATCCCCACCAACAGAGCACAAAGGTTCCCTTTTATCTACATCCTTACCAATACTTGTTAGCTTTTGTCTTTTTAAATAATAGCTATTCTAACAGGTGTGTGGGTAGTATCTCATTGCAGTTTTGATTTGAATTTCCCTAATGATTAGTCATGTTGAACACATTTTCATGTATCTGTTGGCCATTTGTATGTTTTCTTTGGAAAAATGTCTATTCAGGTTCTTTGACCATTTGTAAATCGAATTATTTGTTTCTTTTTTTATTGCTGTCGAGTTGTACAAATTTCTTACATCAAGCTTGTCCAACCTGTAGCCTGTAGACCACAGGTGGCCCAGGATGGCTTTGAATGCAGTCCAACACAAATTCGTAAACTTTCTTAAAACATTATGAGATTTTTTAGCTCATTAGCTGTTGTTAATGTTAGTGTACTTTATGTGTGGCCCAAGACAATTCTTCTTCCAATGTGGCCCAGAGAAGCTAAAAGATTGGACACCCCTGTCTTACATATTTTGAATATTAACCCCTCATAGATATATAGTTTGCAAATATTTTCTTCCATTCTGTAGACTGCTCTTTCATTTTTTGGTTGTTTCCACTGCTATGCAGAAGCTTTTTATTTTGATGCAATCCTATTTGTGTGTTTCTGCTTTTGTTTCCTGGTTTTCTTTTTTTAAATGAAATTGAATATTTTATTTCTTATTTTGCTGCAAAGCTGTTGCTTCGCTGTATAAAAATAGCAACAGGAAATGTACTATCTTGAACAATTAAGATAGTGTTGTTCTTCATCTGACACTGTACATCCACTGACAAAAAGTTCTCTACTCCCAATTACTTCCAATGGAAAGATGATTTAGTATTTTGACGCAAATCCAGATATTGATATAAACAAGCTACAGTATTATATTAGGTTTAAGACAACAATGGTATCCTTGAATTACATAATATTAATAACTAGGTTTTGCCATAATTTCATGAATTCTGAATATTAGAGCCTAGTCTAAAAATCATAGGGTATTGTGAAAAAGAAGCATATTGTATTTATCCACAATCATTAGAAATTTTTTTTGTTTGTTTGTTGTTTTTTGAGATGGAGTCTTGCTCTGTCGCCCAGGCTGGAGTGCAGTGGCATGATTTCAGCTCACTGCAACCTCTGCCTGCTGGTTTCAAGTGATTCTCCTGCCTCAGACTCCTGAGTAGCTGGGATTACAGGCATGTGCCACCATACCTGGCTAATTTTTGTATTTGTAGTAGAGATAGGGTTTCAGCATATTGGCCAGGCTGGTCTCAAACTCCTGCCCTCAGGTGATCTGCCTGCCTTGGCCTCCCAAAATGCTGGGATTATAAGCGTGAACTGTAGTTCATCTAGTTCTGAAGGGTTACCGAGTGTCATTGTGATCATCCAATCATCTTCGTAACAAGATTTGTGTTGCGGGAAGTCAGGGACCCTGAACAGAGGGACCGGCTGGAACTGAGGCAGAAGAACATAAACTATGAAGATTTCATGGACATTTATCAGTTCCCAGAATTAATACTTTTATAATTTCTTACGCCTGCCTTTACTGCAATCTCTGAACATAAATTGTGAAGATTTCATGGACATTTATCAGTTCCCAAAACTAATACTTTTATAATTTTTATGTCTGTCTTTACTTTAATCTCTTAATCACGTTATCTTTGTAAGCTGAGAATGTACATCACCTCAGGACCACTATTGTACAAATTGATTGTAAAACGTGTGTTTGAACAATATGAAATCAGTGTACCTTGAAAAAGAACAGAATAACAGCGATTTTCAGGGAACAAGGGAACATAACCATAAGGTCTGACTCCCTGCAGGGTCAGGCACAATAGAGCCATATTTTTCTTCTTGCAGGGAGCCTATAAACAGATGTGTGAGTAGGAGAGATATCGCTGAATTCTTTTCCCAGCAAGGAATATTAAGAATTAATACCCTGGGGAAGGAATGCATTCCTTGGGGGAGGTCTGTAAACGGCCACTCTGGGAGTGTCTGTCTTATGCACTTGAGATAAGGACTGAAATAAACCCTGGTCTCCTGCAGTACCCTCAGGCTTACTAGGATTGGGAAATTCCAGCCTGGTAAATTCTAGTCAGACTGGTTCTCTGCTCTCTAATGCTGTTTCCTGTTAAGATGTTTATCCAGACAATATGTGCACAGTGGGACATAGACCCTCATCAGCACAGCAGGGCATAGACCCCCAGCAGTAATTCTGATTTTGCCCTTGCCTTGTGATCTTTATTGCCCTTTGAAGCATGTGATCTCTGTGACCTACTCCCTGCACATATACCCCCACCCCTTTTAAAATCCCTAATAAAAACTTGCTGGTTTTGCGACCTGGGGTCATCACGGTCCTACCAATATGTGATGTTACCCCTGGAGGCCCAGCTGTAAAATTTCTCTCTTTGTACTCTTTCTCTTTATTTCTTAGACCAGCCAACACTTAGGGAAAATAGAAAAGAACCTACGTTGAAATACTAGGAGCTGGTTCCCCCAATAGATTTGTTGACAACTCTGGATTTTCTTCAAGGGATTCTGATAAAGGAGAAAAGAGTTCATTAGTAGCTTTCATACTTTCCAAAGCACCAAACTCATCTTGTTTGTTCAATTTTGTCCCAACTTCAGGCCGACTACAGTAAACAACAGCTCCCAAAGATCTCTGTGCAAATTGCTGATTCGCACTGTTACAATACCATTTTCTGTTATTATGCATTCATGTTTCTCTGTGAATTTATGCAGTGAGAGCAGAACATGTCTAGAAGTCACCCACCCTCAGCCACCAGAGCCTCTGCAGGCAAGGCCCAGCAGGTGCTGAGGGTGCATGCAGGCTACATACCACTGCCTGCAAACTCCACGCCACTCTCAGTGCCATGTTCACAGGAGCTTTTCTTCTTATATCTATTAAAAAAAAATTCTCCAGAAAAATGGCAAGTGGCTTTTTTCCTATTTTTCTTTCTATGAATTTTATGGTTTTAGGCCTTACATTTAAGTCTTTGATACATTTTAAATTAATTTTCATGAGTGGTGGAAGATAAGATTTCAGTTTCATTCTTTTACATGTGGATATCCAGTTTTTCCAACACCATTTACTGAGGAAACTGTCCTTTCTTATTTTGTTTTCATCTTGGCACCCCTGTCAAATATTAGTTGACTGTATACCTGGGAGTTTATTTTTAAAATTATTACTAAATAATCACTTAAAGTAGTTAACTATTTTTAATTATTAAGAAATAACATTATTACATAATTATTTAAAGTAATTATTATTTTAAAAATTTCCAAAACTGTCAAAAAGAATAAACTACTTAGGAATAAATTTAACCAAAGAGGTGAAAAATCAGTACACTGAAAATTATAAAACGCTGATGAGGGAAATTTAAGACACAAAGCAATGAAAAGATATCCTATGTTTATGTGTTGAAATAATTAATGTTAAAATGTTCATACTGGAGTAATATTGGCAAGCTAACCTACACTAGAAGCCTTTAGTGCTCATCTGCACACAAGGAAAAAAGCCTGACTAAAAAACTACATCTTGATGAGAATAGCTAAAAGAGGGCACCAGAGTACAGCAAAGGAGAAGCAGAAACCCTGTAGAGCACAGAAACCCAGGATGGTCTCAGAGAATGGAAGGAAACACCTTGGCTCTGCCACCTCATCCGCTAGTTATGATCAGGTCAGAACCAGGAAGGATTTCTTACTGCAGAGAAAAGGTAAGCAAGAGGCCCTCAGCAGCCTCTATCACCACACTGGACACCTATAGTCCTCACCACTGGAAACTCCTGCAGTTGTCACAGGTGCAAAGCCCACCTGAGGGAGCTTCTTGGAGTTCACATGACTG